GTTGGCATATGCGTCTTGAGGCGGCCGTGCCACTGGCGGCTGCGGTGCCGGTCGAGCAGGTGTCATGCTGGCCGGAGCAGGAGGCTTCGGAGGTGCTCGATTGGGAACAAGCCCACCGATTGGTGGAGACATCGCCTGAGTGGCAGCGGGAGCACCACGGGGTATTGGAGGAGGCGCGCGTGGATTCTCAAAACTGCCTTCGTGATTCTGCGGGAACCGAGGGCTCGTTGGAGGCGAGTTTCGCTGGGACCCCGGTGTGTTTGCAGTGGGTTGATGATGAGCATAGGCGTGGTCGAACTTGTGCCAGACTTCGTCATCTCCGCGAGCGTTTTTCTCGTAGAATCGCATAATGTCGACCATGGTTTGAGGGTGCTCCTCCTGCTCCTTCTTGGAGATACCGTTTTCTTGCAGGAGCCGTTGCCATTCTTTCGGCAAGCCGGTGAACTGGCCGGTCCGGTTGTCGTAGCCCACGTGGGTGACATGAACAGGGTTTTCGGGGGCGGAGATCTTGATGCCCCGGGGAGACCCTAACATGCTGTTGACAAAGCTCGAGAAGCTGCTCTTCTTACTCCGCCCAAAGACCTTTGTTCCACTCGCCTCGTCCGAGTGCCTCTTCGTGTTTGTTGATTGATCATTTTCGCTTTTCTGGGTGAAGGCGTCCATACGGTTCTGTAAAGCGGTGAAACTCGCCGACTGTCTGAGTCCGCGGGAATCGGGGCTGGTGTGGTAGGATCGTAACGTCGGCGGTTGCGGCGGAGGACTTTTCTCGGACTCTGCGGTGTTCTCTTCCAATGCACTGAGCATGCCCCGTGAATCAAACGGGGAACCGGTCAATTCATCAGAGCTGGGGTCGGTATTGAAAGAAAACCGCCCCGGGCGGGACTTGCTCGAAAAGGAATTGTTGGAGTCGCCGCCAGCAAGGACAGGAGATGGACCCCCACTGTGTTGCTCGAGAGACGATGAAGAGGAACCGTATGCGTTGGATCTTGTGCGCGAATGTTCTCGACTGCCACTGACAGAGGAACGGGGATAGACAGGCGCCGAGGGGTGTCTTTTGAGTGACGTGTTGCTCTGCTGACTTCTAAGGATACGGGAAGAGAAGCTAGGAGGGTCCTTTTGCAGTTTGCTAGACGTTCGTCTGAATTTTAAGGACGAAAACCCGTCGTTGCTCATGATGTGCGATTAGGAGGGGGTTCGGCGAATTGATGTGTAGTGACAAGGTGGGTGACAGGTATGCTTGAGTGGCTCGATTGGAAAAAGGTGGGGGAAAGCCACCAGGTGAGGCGGTGCTCCTGGATACCCCTTCTGTATCTTTTTTTGGCGGTCGCTGGTTTGTGCAAGGGATATGTGGATGGATCTTGATGAATATGATTATTGATTGACCTTTCCGGAAAAATTAGGGGGCAAAAGGCATACCGCTGTGTTGCTGCAAAGATCGAGTGATTTGCGGGACGGGATGAAAACCCAGATAGAGGGAGCGAAAGAAGCTGCCGCGGGCTAGCCGTGACCCCAATTACCAGCGGTTAGCACGTGGAGAGCCACTGGATCAGTCACAGCAAAGAGGCCTCCGACATAGGCGGTAACAGAAATTGGGACTTTTGGTTACAAGGGCAGAAGCGAAAGAAGCAGTGATACGTATCTATCACCTGAGGTGGGCAAGGAGAATAGGTAGTAAATGCCAGCCGAGTGTGAGAGATCAAACCAGCAGGTTGCAGGAAAAATGCATAAGTCCGACAGCTCAGCACACCGATCTGCAGTAGTGCACCAAGGGGATGACAAGGAGGAATAACAATCATGCAAGAACTACCGGACAGGGGGTTGAATGGATGGATGGATGAATGAATGATGGCGATGATGAATGATGATGATACAGACAAGTTCCAGCCAAGTGACAATGTGCTAAAAGTTGGGGATAGATGAGCAGAAATTTCTTATTATTATTCTTGATCCTGAATCTCAAATTTTGAAGGAGCCAGTGATTGAGTTAAATTGCCTTGACTGGCTGGACCAGCACAGCAGCCGGGATACAATTCTACCTGTAGAGAGTACTGTAGATGTCTGATATGAGATATTTTATCAATTCTTGCGGTGGTCTCTACCAGTTCTCTTCTATGTACTGTGTACATGGTAGTTTGATAAGGGTTGTATCGAATGGTCGGCCTTGGAAAGTCACCCCATATCATGGTGACGGGATAGTACGGTAGCCACTTGACCTATCGAGGGAAACTCTTGGCTTGATATCCTCGCATAAAGACTTCAGTCATGTTACAGAACGAAACTATAATTAGTTCTAGAAGTTTAAACTGCCCTAGGTTCTTTCTTTTAGGTCTCCAGAGATGTACTTCTGTTCCGGCAGTAGCCAATTACTGCATCCGCACCAGAAATTATCATTGTGATATTCGGTAAGGGAGTAGGGGTAGGTTGATAGACACATCATGGACCATGGATAATGTCTCTTTCTTCCTTTTAGGACGTTTGATCGAAGCTGGGCACAAAGCCACAGATTGTACTTTGTACCCCGCCTTACAACCAGCGAGCTACAACCGTCCCCGAAGGGTGAGACGTGATGGGTGTGGTGTTCTGTTAAGGGCTTCAGGGCCTATTGAGTTGTTGACTGCTGAAGGCGTACCTAAATATGCTGTTCGACCTTATGTTACAGTCTGATACCATTGAAAATCGGGCTGTTGTCAATAAGTTTGAGGGGAAACAGCCACAAGAGACGGAAGATGCCGTGCGAAACCGTTCTCCGTCTAATAATTCAATGCTGGTATCGAAGAGAGAGAGCAGCCATGTGTCTAGAATTTTCCTTAAGTTTGGTGATTTACTTTTGAGTGTCTGGGAGACTGAGACAGATGATGTCGTTAGTGGTCCTGAGTCAATATGAACTTCGGAGTCGACTCCGTATTCTTTTTCCATTTTCTTTTCTTTTTACTTTTTCCTTTGACCTTGAAAGCAACATCCGTCGTGGCAAAAATCTGCCAGAGCTCAGAACTCAGAACATACCTACTAATTAATTCAAAGGCTGATATATCTGGAGAAAGCTGGAAACTCTGTACAATCAAACTCGGCCAAAATTAAATTCCAACCATCTGTAGGACAAAATTGAGGGTGCTCAGACCTCTCCCGCGTTCCGTGATTACCCACTGGTTTTCTCTTTGATCTCGGCAGTCATCCAAGGTCGAGACAGGCAAGCAGTTAATAGGCACTCCCAAGGAATATCCTAGGCAGTTACATAGGTACGGCTTTCCCTTCTGCAGGTACACCATCGTTTTGAATCGTCCGGATGTATGAACACACTTCCCCCTTGCGTCCATGCTTGTATCCCAGTCACAGGTTGGACCCCAGCATTGACATACCCGTGTCTTTCTCGGATTCGCTCATTGTATCTCACTTCAATAGTCACTGTCTCTAGATCCTGTGTTAGGATCATGAAAAAATGGCATTGATGATACTCCCTGTTTCGGGATTTGAAAGCTATAGGACCTCAATTCTTGTCTCGAGTGCCTTGAAAGAGGGCGAGTCCTGCTGACGTTCCTATTCAGTATAATAACAGAATACCTCACATTCTACAGATTGCCAGGTAGTCATGTACCTGAGTAGTAGCTATCGGTAAGCTACTACGGAGGTTAATAACCGTGGGTAACGGTGGAAAGACCATGGTTGTGCATGGGTTTTGATGAGAAGAAGTGTGACCTTTCCATGCTACACATCACTGCCTTATGCGATTCGATTGAACTACACCCAATATATCTTAGTTTGGATTCCTATAGGCTATAACTGCATCTGTGCCACAGTACGGAGTAGTATACCTAACTTCTCTATACACCGTACATTAAATAGTAATAGTATTCCTACCGCTGCAATTCACAACAACCATTTCTCATCCCTTCAGCCAGCATCTATAATGGAGATCCTTTGGCCCAGGGAGTCAGTTTGATAGTTGTTTTTTTCTGTTTTAGGTTTCAAGCTTGAGTACAAACGAACACTACGGACTGGACATAGACTGACTGGACACACTAGACAACTACTCATCATACCACATCATCACGGGCCATAAAACACGAAACATGGCAGACTGACGTTTTAGTACTTTGAAGCCACTGCCCATATTGGTGATATCGTGTATTGTCTTTCTGGAGAGCTCCCCATGAGCGGCTACGATATCTAGGCAGGTTCGCGCTTTCCCACACCAGATGGTCTGAATGTTAAAGAAGCTGCAGTAGAAGTCTCTGCCTATTTCTGCATCCGCGAGCCCGGTATAGTTATTACATCTACTAAGATTTGGGAGAACAGAAGAAGGTTCCCTGGTTGGAATAAAGCTTTCAACAAATCTGGCATATGTAGACGACACACAATGACACAACTTCTCACCCTCATATCTCTTTCAGCACCCACCACACACCTGTCAGCCTAGGCTACACCTATCATCTGCCAGTTTTTAATTGCCTTCAGTTCCTTCTCTGCGCTATAAGCTGCTATCTATCTCATAATGTTCTTGAAAATTGGAGATACCATTTGCGGTACTCTTCACGGTTTGGGAGAGACCCTTAAGAGATTGAGGCTTTTCAGCGAAAGAGAGGTGAAAGACAGGGGGAGAGAACACTCTGTATCAATTTTGCAGCAGATTTATGGCACAATCAATCTTTGGAGGCATCCTTTCATCGACCCTGATTGCCATGTATCGCTTCAGATACAGCTTCGCCATGACCTGATTAACCCCTTCTTCACACCATGGCCTGCCTCTGATATTCAGGATATCTACCCAATAGATATGGATGATCCTCGGACAGCAACATATTCGCATTGCCGAGAAGTATATCGATCATGGCCCGCCTTACCCTGGGATCGGGGGCGGGCTAAGAGGACGCCTCCGTTTTGTCACCAACTACCTAACGTATTTGATGTCACAATATCCCCGGAAGCCTAACGGTTCAACACTAAAGAACATATCAGGTTGGAGATGCTCGTAAGGATAAATGTGTCACTCTATGTTTGATGGAATGTTAACTTACGGTGTTGTGGATAGGAACTATCTTGACCTCCCGAATTACCGTCTTCCCTACACCATTGACGAAAGAGATTGGGACATTAGCGCGCACTGGTTCCGCCCTGGCGCGAAGTCACCTCATATCAAAGTCTTGATGTTCAATGCCATTCAAGGGCAGGAGGATTTCTTGATTCGGGAAGAGATCCTTACGATTTTAGGCGTTATGATGCAGCGCTTGAACACAGATGGGTTAGAGAAACACGTTGTGGCCCCTGTAAGTTGCCTTTTCCCAATACAGAGAAGAGTGATAGGGCAGATAGGACTGATTCTTCTGCGCCATATCATGGTAGGTGATGTTACTGTCATTCATGGGTGAATGCCACGGGAGAATCGCATATTTTGATGGAGACAAGCTAGTGATCCAAAGGTCGAAACTATATCGGTTCTACAGTGGCGATTGGAAGTCTTATCTATTGTTCTTGACTTATCTGGCCGCTGGAGAGGTCCAGCAGACACTATGACCCTGTTATCGAAGAGAGACACTCGCACTTCTTAACTGGCGAACAGGAACAGACAGGGCGTTTCCGACTACTGGATCACTGGTGTTGATGGCTGGCTTCTGCGGATGGCTTGTTTTGCTACGGGCAATGAAAGCGATAGCTCTAGGGGAAAATGGAAGAACTTTGCCCTCAGGATCATTAAAGGTCCGGCTCAGAGTAACGTATACTCCTTAATAAGAGCTATTTCACACAGGTCTTGTCGTCTCGTCTCAAAAGCAGACGATTGATGAATTGCTTCTCGTTCGGAGCTTATGAAGCCTCCTGTAAAGATTTCGCGATTATCATAATTTGGTCGCTTTTCCCTATCCAGATAAAAGAGAATCAGTTCGATAACAGCCAAAGAACCAACATATCATAATCACAACCAATTATAGTAAAAGGTTGTAGCAAGATATAGAAAATAGAAGAGCCAGTTAAATAGCAGAAATATCTCAAGTTGGTTCAAGTCAAGAAGCCGCCAAAGGATGGGAAACAGCGACGAGAGTTGCCCATCCTCTGGAGCCAGTGTAAGAAGACAGCTTTGTCAGTCGGATCTCCACATATACACAGTACAGTCCTGTACTGAATCTTCAACGTCAAACTGAACCGCTCAGGTGAGTTGCATCACTTAGAATCCGACCGCGCTCACCATTGTGCTGGTACCGGGACTGCACCGGTTTACATAGACGGTTATCTCCATGAGCTCGGTCATCAAATCCCCCATGCCATAGGTCTGGCGAGCTTGCAAGGTAATACTGGATGACGGTGGTGGACATGACGCCTTAACGTACCTGTCAGCTCACGCCTTTAGACTTAGACGCAAGTCTCCAGTATACACTGTCTGTCATGGCTTTTGGGCCCGTTTTAGTAATGGACTTGATCCATCCTCCCCCAGCTACTATAGCAGTCACGGACTTAGTTCAGAATATGAATGAATTGCTATAATATACAAGCGGTTTGCGGAAGGTCAACCCATCTACCTCCCAACGTATTTGAGTTCCAGTTTTCTTAGAGGGATATAAGTAACTGAGGTGAAGACGAACGCTAACTCATTGGCAACGTCTCCTCCATCCTGACCTATCATCTTCGCAATAGCACCTACATAGTAGGTTTCGACCATGCCGACGATCCATCCAGCGGCACCACAAAGGAAAGCAGTAAGTCCGGCATAGCCGACAGGCATTCTTGATGGTGTATTCCACGCATCGAGATCGTAGTTGGAGAGGCTACCCCCGCGGAATAGATAGTGCTCGGTGAACAAGATCACGAAGAAAGAGGTGTTCCAGTAGCCCAGCAGTGACAAGAAGTTCTCCAGGACGTCCAACAGGTGGTCTCGACCAGCGATACCGAGAAGGAGAATGCAGACGAACACGAGGAACGACCAGACTACCCGTGGGAGTTTTGCAAAGGGCTTGGCAAAAAGCTGCGCGGACAGCGCACCTGAGTAGATAGCAATACAGTTGACACCAACTAAAGAGATATATTAGCGGAAAGTCATGCTGGAGCGGAATGGAGTTCGTTAAAAGAATATCACATACTTCCAGACAGAACCAGAAGGACCAAGAGAAACTTGGCAAATCCTCTAGGGTAGATAATTGTCTTGAGAATCTTCTGCAATTTGGAGGACGATCCTTCCTGAAATATCACCTTTCTCCATTTCCTCATACACTTGAGGCAGATCCCTGAATGGCCGTACGCGGATTTCTGGTTTAACCATTCCCCGACGGACCAACTCAACCGCTTCCATGCATTCTTTGAGCGAACCAACCAGGTTGCCAGTGATCCTGAGCCCTTTGATAACAATGGTGCAGATGGGGGTCTCCAGCACAGGACGCCCCGGGGGAATGCCGACGCAGCTTAGTGTGCCACCGACGCGCAGCATGTCGCATGCATGGGCAAAAGCTTTTGCATTGCCGGCTGTCACAACTACAGCGTGTGCCCCTAGTCCAGTGATTTCGTGCACACGCTGCACAGGGTCGGTAGATTTGAAGTCGATGAACTCGACAGCACCAAGTCCTAGAACGAAGTCTCGTTTATCGCCAGCGTCAACTCCGATAACCAGCGCGCCATGGGCTTTTGCGTATTGAACTGATGCATTGTCAGCTAGCTGCCTTGTGGTTTGACGGGAGAACGATCTTACCCGCGAGGTGTCCGAGGCCACCTCCAGCACCCACTACAACGAGCCAGTTTCCCGCTCTGGTGTTGGCGTTGAGAACGGCCTAACATGTTAGAAGACCACGGAACTGATGGGGGATTGCAAACCTTGTAAGCCGTCACTCCAGCGCATAAGACCGGCCCAATGACCTGCGGATCAATGTCATCCGGCAGGATCGTTAGGTAGTCCGCGTCGAGAGCAATGTACATCTGGAAACTCCCATCCTCGTGGTGCAGATGATTGGTGCTTTTGATGCAATACTGTTCTGTCCCGGCAAGACAGAACTCGCATCGTCTGCAGACACGACTGGCGAAGCGAATCCCTACTAGGCCTCCAACCTTCAAGTCAGGTCCGCAACCAGGCCCCAGCGCCACAATCCGACCGACTCCTTCGTGTCCACCGACGTGAGGACGCTTGATGTTCGTGATGGGGTTTCCGTCGGCACCGGCTGCAGTTCCATTCTTGGTGTGGAGATCTGAATGCTTAGGAGAATGGCTCCAGTTGGTACTGGGTGAACTTACCACTTTGACAAACACCGGTATAGAGGACCTTTGCCAGCACCTCGTTTTGACCAGGGACAGGGACAGGATAGTTATCGTCAAATTCCACCTTGCCTCCGAGTTCGGAGACAAGAGCTACAGTCTGAGTCTGTGGGATTTGCATCGTTAAGATGTTGATACAGAGTCTTTGGAGCAATCTTCAGTCTTTCAATCTGGATACTCTTGTCTGGGTTATGAGCGTAATAAATAGCCTAGTCATATCGAATATGTAGCACAACGTCATGTATAGAATCATAGCAATTATGATCACTTGTTGGCATTGTTGTACGCTATATTTCTCCAATTGGCTCTTGTCCTGCATCAAAGACAGTCACTTGAAAGGAGGCCAGTGTCTGTCTTCATCACAGTCGATGGTTTGTGTAACCTCGAGACTGGGGCTTGCAATTCTCCGAGTGATAGCAAACATCAAGTCTTCACTCTTCAGTGAGTCCAGTCTTCACCTGAGCAGGGCACTGTCATCTGCGAGAATAGGGTGGCCGCCATCTGCTCCGTCCTCCGTACAACTTCTCTTCGCCTCATTCCCTGGATTAAACCGGTATGTCTTCCGATGATCAATAAATTGAGTCCTGACGAGTTCCTCTCTCGGTTCCCCGCATTAAAACAGACTAATTGTAACAGGCTAATCTGCGCTAGCTAGTCACATCATTGGCAAGATCTGGATGTCTCACTTTCACCCCAGAGTTATGTCTCCGCTTCCTGCACTCCACACGTCGTGTCTACACATCAATTTCCTCAAGCCAACCTGGGCATTTCTCCGAGGCATTTCTCCGAGCATATGACGTACTACGGTTTGATTGCACGACTCTGCCTCGACTAATGATGATCGTTCATCCATTCCTCTCTTCGTGGCTGATTGCTGAAGAGATCGAAAGATCGAGACGCTCTGCCGTTGCCGCAGATCCCCCGCTTATCAACACAACCGCTGCTGACCTGAAGAAGCCGTTCATGCCTCCTTTCTGAGTCTCTGCATGCTGCCAAACTCCTTCACACGACAAATTTTGGCACCGTTGACTTCTCGACCAGAATCACGATGGCATCTAGAGTCTTCATTTTCCTCCGTTTTAGATGCAGGAATACGATTGATGGAAATTCCCAGAGTAGCTAGCTTTTGCCTAGCAGCCTAGTTGTGGTTCTGGGCGAATCCGTACAGGGGACAACTCCGGCGGGATGAAGCCCTCTCCGCATTTCGATACTCTTCCTCGCTGCGACACTTTCATCTAATCATGATTCGATTGATTGGAGACTGACCAAGTGAGCATCACAATGGTCGACTATAAAACCCGGGTTGCGGCAGTCTACAGGAATACTTTTGACAACTCAAGCTGTCAAGCACGCAAGTTCCTGACTGACAATGAGATTCCTTAGCCTTCTGGCCCTCGCGCCTCTGGCCTTGGCCGCAAGTGTCCCTCGGGCCACCATCCCAACCTACAATGCGGTGACCGTCTTCCAACCCCCGGCTGACTACAACGTCCCGCGCGTCCTGTACGCGCGCAACCTGGAGCTGCCCAATGGGGACCTCCTATGCATCTGGGAGAACTACTCCAAGGAGCCCCCGCAAGTGTACTTCCCCATCTACCGGTCCAGGGACCACGGACGGACCTGGAAGGAAATCTCGCGGGTCCACGACCAGGTATATGGCTACGGATTGCGCTACCAGCCGGAGCTGTACAGACTTCCCGAGCGCATTGGGTCGTTCCCCGCCGGGACGATTCTGATGGCGGGCAGCGCCATTCCCACCGATTTGTCGTCGACGCACATTGAGCTGTATGCGTCGCGGGACTCTGGTGTGACGTGGAAGTTTGTGAGCCACATTGCTGCTGGCGGAAGGGCTGTACCTGATAACGGGTTGACACCTGTGTGGGAGCCTTTCCTGATAGTTCAGTAAGTTTCCATGGAATAAAGATCGTTCCAGTCCAGTTCTAACAGTCCATGACAGTAATGGCAAGTTGATCTGCTACTACTCCGACCAGAGAGCCAACACCACCCACGGCCAGAAGATGGTCCACCAGGTTACGACGGACCTGAAGAACTGGGGTCCTGTCGTTGACGATGTGTATGTCCAACTTCACCCTGCGTCTACCATCACTGCGGCGAAACAAGACTGACTGTAACAGTGCCTACCCAACCTACACCGATCGTCCCGGCATGCCCGTGGTCGCCAAGCTCCCCAATGGCAAGTACATCTACACCTACGAATACGGCTCCTTCTTTGGCACCGACAGCTACTCCTTCCCCGTCTACTACCGCATCTCCTCCGACCCGGAGAACTTCCTGTCGGCTCCTCACCAGCGCCTTGTCACGACCACGGGCTATGTCCCCACCTCGTCGCCTTATGTTGTCTGGTCCCCGTACGGCGGCGTCAACGGCACCATCATCGTGAGCGCATATTCCTCCAGCAGCGTGTTCGTCAACCAAGCGCTGGGAGAGGGCCCATGGAGGGAGATCCGTACTGCTGAGCCGAACGCTTATACACGGTCGCTGCGGGTTCTGAAGGAGGACCCGAAGATGCTCTTGATTAATGGCGCTGGTGTGTTGAATGGACAGAACAACAAGGTTACTGTGACCTTGCTGAACCTGGAGGAAGCACTGCGTTAGTACTCGGTGGAGTTGCTTAGCAGTATAGGATTTGATAGAGGTCAAGATCAAGGATTGGCAGATGATAGGGTAAATGCAGTTTAAAACCAGTCAGATGATTATAACTTATTTATCATGTAAGAAGTATCTGCATTGATTGCGGCATATTAATTAAAAGAGAGTAGTAAGTTGCAAGGTTTATTTCCATGATTCATTATTCAATCTAGCATATTTACTAACTCTAACTACACCTTTGTATAGAACTATCAAAAGGCACACAATAAAGCTACCAGGCCAGCCTTAGGCAGGACACGGGTTCCCTACGTTAGTATATCACGTTGTCTATGGAATCATCATTATGACTTTCCCCGCTGTGGTTAGTGGTTCCTGGAGGACTACTACTTTTTATTTTACTCCATATTGTGGTCATTGCATGTAGACGGCGACCGTATGGGACTGAGCTCACTGCAGCTCGATCCTGCTGGATCCTCCGCATATTCTGATCCTACAGGCACAAACTGATTAGATTCATTTCAAGCTAATGCACTACATGGTGCTTACTGATCCTGCTTAGTAGAGAGTATTAGGCAGAAAAACTAATTGATATAACGCGGACCTGATAGTTACAAACAGGCAACATCTTGTACACCTCATGCTATGATTCATATATTGATGCTTACAACGCACGAACCTACACTAAATTTAATTATCTGACTCGGGCTCGGAGCAATCAATCTGATGCAGGTCTGTATAGTAAGCAGCTATTACATGACGCTAACCTCTAGTCCTCCCACGCGGACGATAGCATATACTGCCTAGCCGCTGCATCCCTGCCTCTCATCCCAGCACAACGAGTCATTGGATGGTGGCTTGGTAGACATAGGCCAAAGCTAGACGGTTAAATTATCTAGCTGAGTGAACCGGAGTCAACTCTTATCTCCGAGCAGGATCGACGATACGTCTATTCCCTGCGCAACAACCAGAGAGTCGGCTCCAGGAATCACGCCGGACCCGAATAGAAATGGCTTGTTGGGCTCCCCGTTAAGGGTTCTGTCGACCATTAGAACTATCTGGGCTCACCCTACGAACAAACTGACTAGCTATCGCCTAGGTCATTTGGATATCCTGCAACACGATCGAAATGCCAACCGGCGTGTCGTTCAGCCCCGATAAAATGCCAGACCTCTCCGGGAAGGTCATCTTAGTAACTGGCGGTTAGACCTACATGTACTCCTTCAGCATTGGCATTTCCCTAACATATCACAGGAACAGCCGGCCTCGGGGCCGCGACGGTTGTCCATCTAGCGAAACACGCTCAACCGCCCGCACACATCTACATCAGCGGACGGAACGCACAGCGCGCCGACGACCTCATCAAACAATTATCTGCTTCAAGCTCGACAACACACGTCTCGTTCGTCCCCTGCGACCTGGCATCCCTCGCCTCCGTCAACGAAGCAGCAGAAACAATCCTCAGGCAATCATCCCGACTCGACATCCTAATGTGCAACGCAGGCATCATGGCGCAGCCGCCTTCACTGACAAAAGACGGCTACGAGGTTCAATTCGGGACTAACCATCTCGGCCACGCACTGCTGATCCAGCGCTGCCTTCCCCTCCTGCAGCGCACAGCAGAGGAATATTCCGACGCACGCATCATCATCCTCTCCTCGCTAGCCTTCCGAGGCCACCCCAGCGGCGGGATCGTCTTCTCGGACCTACAAACCGTCCAGCATTTCCACGCCTTCGGCCTCGGCCCCTGGATCCGCTACGGGCAGAGCAAGCTCGCTAATATCCTGTACGCGCGTGAGCTGGCCCGGCGGTACCCCGCTATCACCTGTGTTTCGATCCACCCCGGTGTGGTGAGCACGGGGCTAGTCGAGAACCAGACCCGGGGGAACCGTGCGTTTATCTATGTGACTACTATTGGTAAGGTGATGAAGCCGGCGGAGGGTGCGTATAATCAGCTTTGGGCGGCGACGGCGCGGAAAGAGGAGTTGGTGAATGGGGGGTTTTATGAGCCGGTGGGGGTTCTGGGGAAGCTTTATAGGGCTGCGGGTGATGATGCTTTGGCAGGGAGGTTGTGGGAGTGGACGGAGGGGGCTTTGGGGGAGTATATCTCTAGGTCGCCTGAGGTTGGTTAGAACATGCCTGCTCATGCTCTGCTCATGCGTCTTGGAGTGACTTATCCCCCACTCATTGTACTTATAGGCTTTCTCTATCTCAATCTTCAGTGTTATACTATGTTCTCTCTAACAACGAGCATTCGTTAATCCCATAACAGTTCCATGCGCCGGAGCGTTAGCTATATCAGAAAAAACTAACTTACAGCCAATCATATAGAAACATACAACAGACAGAAATCTACAGTAGTCAATGCATGTAGAAAGTTTCATGGTGAGTATGTATATTTATATTCATAACAGAGGAAGAGCCATTAGGCTGCTCTGAAGTAATATATAAAAGCAATTATCCTTTACATATGTACAAAGGCTACAGATTAACCTGAGTGTGCACTTATTGACCATTCCTCCACTAATGAGATGAATTTGCCGGCCGCATTCTATTGGCATGTACCCCGGGTTGCCTGAGCGTATCATTGCGGGGTACAACGAAGATCATCAAGATTCATACATTTCCCATCGAGGCCAAAGAGACGCTTACGAACAAAGAACTGCATGCTCAAAGACATCAATGATGACGACTCCATCAGTACAGCTACGAAGCATTGACCCGTCACGTCATCGCGGCCATGATTTGCCCATCGGCAACCAACCATTCAACTCAATGCGAACATCACTCACCAATCATTGTTCCTCGTTACTAGAGCTACAATCATTTAGAGAGGTATATCGCCATCATCATATCACGAGTCAGTCAATAAGAATAGCCGAGCGGGTCGGGACTCGGCTCCAAGCATGCTTGCTGACTCGCAACGCAAAAGACAAAGAAATCAGCCGCCTAAACCGGCACTAAATCGCATGGCAACAGGATTCACTCACCTATCAGGGTACGGGATCATCCGCAAGCTTTCCTGTTCAGCGAGCTTCGTGTTGCGGGTGTGACACTGACTCTGACGCCTCAGATCACGCAACGGCAGGGATGATTGGCATGCGATGCATTGACCTGTCCTGTCTTTACCTTGTTATAAGCTGACATCGCCTCTTTTTTGCAGCTTGTCTCCGAGGCTAAGAGATACTGAGCAATATGGGCAAAAGACTTGGCCTGCTGCGGGCCATTTATCTGGTGTCGGCCAGTTGCATGGGCTCGTTTGCTTTTGCGTTTGACACTGGGGTGATCAGTGCGTTGCTCTCTAGTCCCTATCAGAAAAAGGAAAAACGGCCAGCTAATTGACCAACAGGCGGCGTTCTCACGCTGGAATCCTTCCAGAAGGACTTTCGATATACTCAAGCGCAGAAAACCACCGTCAACTCAAATGCTGTGTCTATTCTTCAGGCCGGCGCGTTTTTCGGATGTTTCTTCACCACACCGGTAGCCTCGCGGCTAGGTCGCCGGAGCGGGCTGATCATCAGCTCGCTGGTGTTCACGCTCGGCACGATCCTGCAGGTCATCAACGCACACACGCTAGGCACCTTTTACGCAGGCCGCGTGATTGCCGGGATTGGCATCGGGGCCGCGACGGTGCTGATCCCGATGTACGCGGCGGAGATGTCGCCCAAGGAGTTCCGCGGGCGGCTGGGGGCGTGTTTCCAGTGGTTCTTTGCGTGCGGCGTGATGGTCGCGTACTGGGTGACGTATGCGGTGTCCAAGGACCAGCCGTCCGCCACAAAGCAGTGGCAGATCGCGCTGGGGCTGCAGCTGCTGCCGTCGACGCTGCTGCTGGCGGGCATGTGCACGGTCAAGGAGAGCGCGCGGTGGCTGGCGGCCAAGGGACGGACCGACGCCGCGTGGGATTCGCTGCGATGGGTGCGCGGCGGCGAGGAGACGGCGGAACTGCGGCAGGAGTTTGACGAGATCCTCACGGGGCTGGAGGAGGAGGCGCGCGTGCGGGAGAACTGGACGTGGCGCGAGCTGCTGCTGCCGGCGAATCGGTACCGGATCTTCATTGCCGTCACGATCCAGCTGTGTGCGCAGCTGACGGGCAACACCTCGCTGGCGTACTATGCGACACAGATCTTCGCGGCGGTCGGCGCGGGCACCTCGGCCAAGCTGGTGACGGGATTCTTCGGCGTGGTCAAGGTGGTCGGGGTCAGTGTCTTCCAGCTGTTTGTCATGGATCGGATCGGGCGAAGAGTTCCGTTCATGGTTGGCGCGGGCGCAATGGGCTCCTTTATGCTCATCATCGCGTGTGTGCTGGCGACGCATCCAACGAAAGCGTCCACGGGGGCTGCTGAGACTGGAGCGACGCACGCGGGCATCGCCATGATCATCATGACTTATGCCGAGGCGTTTAGCTTCAACATGTCCTGGGGGCCACTGCCATGGCTGTACGTGGGAGAAATCTTCTCGAGCCGCACGCGCGAGGTGGGAGTGACGGTGGGGGCGGCGTCGCAGTGGCTGTTCAACTTTATGATGTCGCAGGTGACGCCGCACGCAATCGAGAATATTGGATGGCGGATGTTCCTGATGTTTGCCATTTTCAACTATTCTATTATCGGGTATTCGTGGTTCTTTTTGCGGGAGGTAAGTTTCCCTCGTCCTCTTTCCTCACTACGACTAACCATCACAGACATCCCTCCATTCTCTGGAAGAAATGCAAAATGTGTTTGGGGGAGGACCTCGGGAAAAGACCACCGACGACGAGGCAGAACCGTCAGTCAAGACAGCTTGAGTCTTCTCGGCTCAGGAGGGTCTTGATTGGCGGGACTGTCCTATGAATGGAGCTGCACGTAATGAGATCTGGTTATACTTTGGCTGGGGTTTATAGTTCTGAACGTGGCGTATTCGGTTTCACATGCTTGCAGGCAGCAGCAAAGGACAAGAGTCATGTTTTCTTCTTTGAATCGGCTCAATCGACTCCATTGAGATTCTAGGTACTGGTGTGACTGACAAGATACTATCCATAAGGCTGAGGCAGATCAGCAGAACAGATCGACATCCGACTCTTACATTGTTATTGCTCATTATTCTCATCTGCTCGTGGACTACTCTGTAAAAAGGAATACGAAGCCAAGTAATAACTAGCTGAGTAAGGACTTCCTCTAGTCCTAGACTAAGCCAGGGACGGAGCCATTTGAGGCATTTACATTGGTTCTTCTCCCCGGACTGCCCTTCTCCGCAGTGGCAAACTTTTCTAGTCTCAGTTCCATAGGACCGTTGTCCGTTTCCCCGTCTGTTGCCTTTGCCAGATACTTGACTGTGTGCTTCACTGTCCGATGCCGATCGAATTCAGTCAAGAAGGTTGCAGTCAAGTAGTCAAAGTATCATCCAATGCACGTCTTTCGAAGAAGCAACTATAAGAGATGGGCACAGACCTGGACAGACACGAGGCAAAATGCAAAGACCACACTCTGGCCTTTGGTCCTCCCTATCCCTGTTTCCGGGCCGGTTCCATGAAAGTTCTGACTGGAAGGGTCATTTTTAGACCAATCGCGTGAATTATCCCAAGGACGGTGACTGTGCCGACTGCTACGGCCACGGCTCTTTGACCTTTTCTTAACCTTTGTCCGGTGTCTCTGCCTGTCTCCTCTCAGGGATTCGAGCGTTTATCTAGCCATGTGGCTGTGGCACTGTTATATATCGCCTCGTGGGTCTGGCTTTGGGTCTTGAGTCTAGACAGTAGCCCGATACTTTCGATCTCGTTACCCCATATTCTCCGGTCTCACGGTTCCGAAACTCCAGAAATTTGCTCCCCACACACCGTTATATCTCGTGTGCGTCCCACTACTTTCTTTCTCACCTGCAGCTCGCTCCGTTCTTTACCTTTCTTATTCACCGATTACCCTCCGTTCTTTCACCGGCCTTCGTCCTTCCTTCTGTTCTCCTGTTTGTTTTTTATTTTGTTTCCGCTTCAGCATGCAACTGTGACCAATGTCGACGTCGGATCGCATCTCGCGACCCACCAATCCCGATGGCCTCGTGCTTGAGGCATGGGGCCAGGGCCTCATGCTGGGCTGCCTGCTGGTCATGGCTTCAGTGACCTTTGTCAACATGAAGAAGCATATCCTGCTCCATAAATTGATTCTGCTCGAGTTGGTCCTGGCCATGCCCAATGGGACCTTCATCTTCCCAAAGGACCCCGTCTACGGGTGGTACCAGAGCGTCACTGCCGTCGGGCTGAATGTCTCGTGGAGCTTGCACAATGTGATCGCCTGGATGAAGAACCGCCCGTTCATGTCGCGAAAGGTGTCGCTGTTCTATATCGGGACCGTGATCCTGGCGCAGCCCTACTGGGTGCTGGAGATTTATGCCAATTTTGCCTATTTCAACAACTACAACAAGATCTTTCTGACCACGAGGCCGCTCGAGCCTATTTTCCGGTTCGTCGCCCTCCATTTGCCTCCAGGCGGAAAGGTGATAACTGATGAGCTGACTGAGTAGTGACCCCTGGTGGATCTTCACCACCTGCTCCCTCTTCTACACCATCAAACGCGAATACAACTTTGGCATCATCGAGCTGGTCAGCGTCTCCCCGCGGTTTGGTATCATGCTGGCGTCCATGTGTCTGTCGATTGCGTTCATGGTCGTCGATACCTGCAGCGTCCTCAACGTGTTTAGCCACTCGTCCCTGCCGACGGGGATCGAGCCATTCTGGAAGGTATGTGGCATCTCAAGGCTTCCAAGCAGAAATGCTGACGGTACAGTTGTCGTTCATCTTCAAATGTCTCTGCGACACCGTCATCCTCGACGACTTCAAAACCGCCCTAGATCGCATGCGCGCCTACTGGCTTCGGAAACGGAACATGGGCGGCGAGATCCTCTTACATACCGGTGAGCATCACCATCAGCATCATCGTATGGAAGGCAGTGGACGGTTACGCCCGACGGATGAGGATATCGAAGCTCTGACTGGGAATGGGGGCGATAGGCGGAAATCGGACTCACTCCCGAAGGTATATACACGCGAGCATATCAGGGGGTAAATAGGAATATATCAGTGTAATGATGTATATAATAATTGGACATATCTCTGGAATTCGCCAGAGGCGCACCACCCTCTATTTAGTATCCAGATCAGGCCGCTTCTCACGTGCCACCTATGCAGGACAATTAATTTTCATAAACCTCAAACAAGAATAAGCATTTGAAACAGAGACCTGTCATTCTCCGGCGCAGTCCGTCGGCAGAAGAGTAGACCATGACGAAGTGCTGCTGTCGATCTTTTCCTCTGTATGTTCTGAGCTTTCCAGTTGGCGCACCCCTTTCGGACTAGTGCGGTTGGTGGAGCTGCCAAGTGTTGTTCCTTGCGCCGCTGCAACAAATATTGATCTTGAATTTGATACTCTTTCAATCAATCGGTTTGACGATCTAATCAATGATTTCCAGGTTCCTGGTGAAAGTGGCGTCTTGCTTGATCTAATCTACGATTGCTTATCGGCTTGCGCGTCAGGGCCATCAAAACCTGGCGATTCCGCTTGGCCTGCCAATCTCCATCCACTAGAATCTATCAACTGGCTCCAGTGCAGATCATGATTCCGTGCAGGTCGACGATCTGATCCTGTCGATTTCTGTTGTCGCCCCTGTAGATCTCGCGTTCTGTCGTTCCACTGCTATATCTATTGCTTGATTGTCACTCCCTGTTTGCTTTCCCTTTGTTCTGTCCAACCTTTGTCACTCTTTGTATACACACACGTTCATTTGTCTATAGATTGCCGTTGAAATGCCAGGCCGAGGGTTACTCAGGCTTACAGTCGGGTGGGCCCTACTGTCACTTTGTGTGGCAGTAGATACCTGGCCGTACATGACCCTGCAGACTGCGCCATACCAACCTCCGCAAATCCAAGTCACCAAGAGCGGTACCACCGACCCGGGCTACCTTTTTGTTGGCCCCCGTGGCAACAAGCCGGAAGGCACGGCGGCGTTGATCTACGACGAGGACGGCAATCTAGTCTACCAGGGCCCGGACGAGGTGACGGCCAATTTCCGGGTGCAGCGGCTGTTCAACCAGGATGTCATTACTTTCTGGGCCGGCAACATGACAGACCTGGGGTTTGGATACGGGACCGTCCACATTCTCGACAATACCTACCGGGAAATCTACATGGTGACCCTGCAGGGGAACTTTGTCACCCCGGACAACAGCGTCCCGGATTCGTTCATTGACCTGCACGAGAGTCACATCTCGGACCGCAATACGTTGCTGGTCACGGCCTACAATGTCACCCAGCAGTCCCTGACGTCGATCGGGGGCACGCCGGAGGATTACATGCTGGACAGTTTGTTTTATGAGATTGACATTGCTACCAATGAGATTGTGCATTCGTGGAGCGCATTGGAGCATGCCGACCAGATTGCTTTGACGGATTCCAAGCAGGGGATTGACGTCGATCATGGAACGCGTGAGCAGCCGTGGGATGCGTATCATATCAACTCGGTGGAGCTGTTCGACGAGGGGTATCTCGTCTCTCTGCGTCACTACTGGTCTGGGTATTACGTTCATGGCAATGGGACTGTCATGTGGCAATTCAGTGTATTACCTATCCACCCCTTTGTATGCGTTAGATACTGACGGACCAGGGCGAACTGGGCAAGGGTGACTTTAAACTAGACCAGGCCGGGGTCTTCTCCTGGCAGCACGACATGCGCATCTACAACAAAACAGATACCGGCATGATCCTGAGTCTGTTCAACAACGCCAATACCCCTACCGAGACGGTTGCGGCTACGACGGGTTTGAGCTACGCAGTGGATTTGGTCAACCGCACGGCAAAGACACTCCGTACCCTGAGCGACAGCAAGGACGTCATCCACAGCGTCAGTCAAGGCAACTACCAACAGCTGAGCGCGTCGGGGCATGTCGTGCTGGGCTACGGGTCGATTGCCAAGATCAAAGAGTTTGACGCCAATAACAAGCAGGTCCTCACGGCGCAGTTTGGCACCGACAACGAGGTGGCCTCGTACCGGGGGTACAAATGCGCCTGGAAGGCGACGCCGTTCTGGGCGCCGGCGATTGTGGTTCGGCGGGTGTCAGATGATTCTGCGCAGGTGTTTATGAGCTGGAACGGGGCGACCGAGTATGACAATTGGGCTGTGATGGCCGCTGACGCGCCAGACTCTGTCAGTACCACTATTGTCACTACCTTCAAGCGCACTGGCTTCGAGACGTCTGGTACGGTTCGGGGGTTGAAGACAAAGTATCTCCAGGTGGTTGCTCGTCGAGGAGATATTCCTTTGGGCATGTCGCCTATTGTCAGTTTTTAGCACTGTCACTGCATCTGTTACTGTACATATACATCGCATTTTCACATAGTATTAATAGACATTAGCGTGGACTAGATTGTTACTCAACAGTTTTATTGACTGTACATTGACTCGGGTACGTCGTTACACTACGGATGTACACATACACGCCTACACTGTACAGAGCAGACAAGACTATCACTTGGCTACAATCTGTAGATATAAAACCGACCATCACCCTCAACCTAAGAACCACAACACAACACAACACAACACAACACAACAAGAATAGAATACAACCAGAACAGAAACAAAATGCATCTCAACCTCATCAGCCTCGCTCTCTGTCTCTCTCCCCTGGCCCTAGCCCTCCCCCCTCAACCCATCCTCAGCAAACCACCCATGAAAACGAACCCCCAAATAAGACCAACAAACCAAACCCTCGGCCACGCCCTCATCCACAACACCTGCACCAGCAACATCTACCTCTGGTCCGTCGGCTCGACCATCTCCCCCCAATTCGCCATTTCTCCAAACACCACCTACACCGAAGTCTACAGAAGAGATCCAGCCAGCGGCGGCATCGCGCTGAAGATCACGCGCGTGGCGGATGGGCTGTATACCGCTGCGCCGCAGATGGTGTTTGCGTATAATCTTGTGGGAGAGCGGGTTTGGTATGATCTGTCGGATGTGTTTGGGGATCCATTTCTGGGGAGTCGGGTTCGGGTTGAGTATCGGGGGCTGGCTGGGGAGGAGGAAGATGAGGAGAAGAGGATTGAGTGGGTGGATGGGATGTCGCCTGGGGGGAGTATGGTTCGGGTTGCGGGTGCGGAGGGGGATTTGATTCTGACGGTTTGTTAGATAGACATTGTTATGGAGTGTCTTGGAGTGTCTATGGAGATGAGATGAGGGAGTGGATGAGGGATATGGTAATGCTATGTTCTATTGTTTCTGCTATGCAGTAGTACCTTAATTCAATGCCTTTCTATTATATTGAGTACTGGTGATGAGGAGCAGTGTATATGTCTGTCTATAGTCCGCGGTCTCCGCTAACCTCGGCATTATCTCTTCCTACACAGTTGTAGTAGAGCATACATTCCTGCTACATATTGTTGATCAAGTACTGTCGTTGTACAGACTGAGAATAAAGATGCTACCTTATTCGCTCGTTTGACCGAGATATCATCATATCATCCTTTACATTCGGCCAGAAGACCGAGGCTGACCGCGGAATAAATAATTGGAGATGCCCATTCCCATTCCCATTCCCATTCCCATTCCCCGCACTTGGCCATCTCCGGACTCCCTTCTTCCCTGGTCTGTATTATCATCATCATCATCAACAACTCGACTCTCTAATTGCTACAAATTGCTACAATGACTTCAATACGTGTTGCGCCCTCTGCCGCCAACAGAGCCCTCAATCTCCTCCGCACAGTGCAATATACCCATCCTCCCTCCTGTCCCTGCCACTCCAACCCCAATCACCACCATCACCTGCAATCCAACCATGTCCGCCGTCTGGCCACTCCGGTTGACCCCTCGCGCCAGAAAGAGTACGCCTTTGAAATGGCCGCCTCGAGTATTCGCTTCGGCCCTGGCGCGACCAGGGAGGTCGGCATGGATTTTGCCAATATGAAGGCCAAGCGCGTGTGCATCGTGACCGACCAGAACGTGGCCAAACTGGATGCCATGAAACAAGCCGTGGAGGGGCTGTCAAAAGAGGGGATTGAGTTTACGGTTTATGACAAGGTGCGGGTCGAGCCAAAGGATAGTTCGTAAGTTCAGCCTGCAGTTCTCGAGAGGTGCGGACTGCTAACTCCAGCAGAGTGAAAGATGCCATTGCGTTTGCAAAGCCATATAACCCCGATGCCTTTCTGGCTGTCGGCGGCGGCTCGGTCATCGACACGGCCAAGCTGATGAATCTCTATACTGTCTTCCCCGAGGCCGACTTTCTTGACTTTGTCAACGCCCCCTTGGGCAAAGGCCTCCCCGTCACCAAGGCCCTACGGCCACTGGTCGCCGTCCCGACAACTGCAGGCACCGGTTCTGAGACAACAGGAACCGCCATCTTCGACCTCGTGTCGAAAAAAGCCAAGACCGGCATCGCCCACCGCAATCTCAAACCCACGCTGGGCATCTGCGACCCGCTCAACACCCGCACCATGCCCTCGGCCGTCCACGCCTCTTCGGGTCTTGATGTCCTCTGCCACTCGCTCGAGTCCTGGACCGCCATCCCCTACAACGAGCGCACCCCACGCCCCACCAACCCCATCAACCGGCCCGCCTACCAGGGCGCCAACCCTATTTCCGACATTTTCTCGCTGCAGGCCCTGCGCAGCACCGTCAAGTACCTGCCCCGCGCCGTCCGCGACCCGGACGACTTCGAGGCCCAGTCCCAGATGCTCCTGGCCGCTACTCTGGCCGGCGTCGGGTTCGGGAATGCCGGCGTCCATTTATGTCACGGCATGAGCTACCCCATCTCCAGCCAGAACCCGGGCTACAAGCATGCGGGATATGACGTGGACCACCCGATTATTCCTCATGGTGTCTCGGTCGCTGTCACCGCGCCGGCTGTCTTCCGCTTCACGGCTGCCTCGAATCCCGACCGGCATCTGGCTGCCGCTGAGGCGTTTGGCGTGGATATCTCGAATGTCAAGCGCGAGAGCGCGGGCGAGGTCCTCGGCGAGGCGCTGGCCAAGTTTTTGGCCGAGCTGGGTGACCAGCCGCGCGGGCTGAAGGATCTGGGCTTCAAGCATTCGGATATTGAGTCGTTGGTGGAGGGGACGATCCCGCAGAAGCGGGTGTTGATGCTGGCGCCGAATTTGAGTGCTGAATTGGAAAGAGAGAGGGAGGAGTTGAGGGGGTTACTCGAGCAGTCGATGGAATATTAGTGCCTCGTATATAACAAACAATGCATTCTATCAACGCCGGTACTCCATACTATGCAGATTGCTGTCAAATACATGATACTCTATACGCTATCCTCCCAGATCACCCTCAACCCAATCACCCCCATCGAAGACGCCACCCGGTCCAGCCAAGTGACAGGCAAAGCCTCGCTCGACGCACTCGACACCCCACGCTGAAAGTCCGACACCACGCGGAACTCTCCTCGTCGTCGACCAACCCGAAGCCAAACCAGCAGGCTCTGCAACGCAGCAACCATATCCTCCGCCCCTTGTAGCAGCAATCCGGGACCGGTCTCCCCTCGCCCACTCCCCCCCAGAACCACCCGCAGCTCTTGAACCAACCGAACCAGCCGGCCCCTCGTCGCCCGCACCCTGGCCACCAACCCCTCATCCACACCCCCAGGCACCCCGGGGCATCCCTCCGGGGAGTCCCCCGGAAGGGCTGCCTCCGGCAATGCCTCCGCAAAATACCTCGGACACCGCACAACCTCCATCCAAATCCGCTCGCAAACATCCACCACACGCGCATCGCGCCCCGCCTTGCGCACATCCTCGGCGCGGATCCTCCCCGCAAACCGCAGCCATTCCTCCTCGTCCAGGAAGCACGCGCGCCCCTCGTAGATGGCCGTTGCGATGAGGAACCCGCGGAAGGCGATGTAGCAGCCGCGCGCGAAGCCGGGGCCTTCCCCCGTAGCATCAATACCAGCACCAGCATCAGCATCAGCATCAGCATCAGCACCAGCATCAGCGCTAGCGCTAGCTGGTTGTTGTTGGTTGTTGTCGGTGTCGTTGTCGTCGGTGAAGTGCAGACCCGGCCCCCTCGCTAGCATAATCCTCCTTACGCCATCGACGTGCACGACGAACGCGTCTGGCGACGTCCGTGCGTACATCTCGTACACGGCGAGCATCATGATCGTCGCTAGAAGCGGGGCGGACAGTGCGGCGGGGGAGTGCAGTGCCGCGACGACGTGTGTGAGTGCGTGCGCGTACAGCTGCCGGCTGCGGCGGGTGTACTGCGCTGGGTCGGGGGAGAACTGCGCGGTGTAGATTGATGTGAGACAGGCGAGGGTGGCGGCGAGGTAGGGGGCTGCGCCGGAGGCGTAGGAGGAGGCGACGTGGGCGAGGAAGTCGGGGCGGTTGTGCGCGCGGAAGATGTTGGAGGTGTAGAGCGTGGGGAAGGCGGAGTGGAGGAAGGAGGCGAAGAGGTGCGGCTGTTGGAGTTGCATTTGCATTTGCAGCTGCATTTGGTGGAGGTGGGTTTGGGAGTGGGCGGAGGAGGAGGAGGGGTCCTCTGAGCGGGTTTGGCGCATCATTGCGATGGCGTTGTTGCGCACGACTGCTGCTGCCGCTGCTGCCGCATCTGTGGTTGTCTCTGGACGTCTGCGAGACTGGGACCTTGACTGGTGCCGGCGTTGGAGGGCTGGTCCTTCATCCTGGAAGCGAAAGGTGCGGCGGTAGCCTGGACACGGGCGGCCGTATTTCCGGCATTGCGAGCATTGGGGGACGGCCTCGTCGCACTGTTCTGTCAGTTGGATTGAAACGAGAGTAGGAGAGGAATCACCGACCTTGATGCGTCTTTCGCGGCACAGCGAGCAGCCTGTGCTATGGGGGACTCCGACCATCGTATCTAACAGTCACGGCCAGCGTGCACAACGTTCGACAACGATCTATAGAGCTCAAAAGAAACGCTTGCAAGACGACAAGAAAGGAATGTGTTGAAGGAACGTGTGGAAGGAGCGTGTGTTCGACAAACTTAAACATCGAGACGAGGACCTTTTCTATCCCATCCCGATAGGGAACAGGTGCAGAAAGGACCCCAACCGGCCGAATTCAGGAAGTACGAGCACACGCCGAATGACGACGTCCAGACTGGCAATCGCCAGTCTGAGGGCAGACCGTTAACCTTTTTTTGGGTCTGCATCTCGACCGGCTGTTGAGCTATGATGATCCTGCAAGGGCCACGAGATGCCATGCTATGGCCCATGGCCCCCACGATTCTTGACGTCGTCTTGAGCAAATTCATCAAGAGAACTCCGTGGAATATCTTGAAGCTGAGCAGCTAGCTGACTCGTTGCTGTCATAGTCTTTGCGGACGCTGGTATAATTATCCATCACGGACGAATAGCTGCCCAGCAAGCATGGGGGCCGTGACAGAGCATCAAGATGAGGTCAAGTCAAACTCTCAAACGGTAGCTTGATGAATCCGAAGTCAACAGGTCGGCTAGTGATTAAAATAGCATCATCCTCGTAGTGGACGCTTCATGATTGGCGCGTTTCTCGGCGCGGCTCTCGTTAGACGGGATATACGAGCCTGCATCGACGCTCTGCTGATCTGTGCTCTGCCTTTTTTGGATATCCACTCGTGAAACAATCGCCAAAGAGCTAGAGGAGTCAGTTACAGAATTGAATGATACGATGTGACCCACTTGACTCGTGTTCGCCAGTATCCCGAAAGCCTATGGCTGGATGATGATATTGATGGGTTGAGTGATTACCCTCTAATATTAAGTCTGCTCTTGGCCATATTGACTAGAATAGCAACACTGATGATATCGCCCGTACCCCACGTATCTTTATTCTTCATTCTCTCGTGAGCTGCAACAGGAAATGATCTGATCGGTCATTCTCTTAATCAAACAAAGAGATACCAAGTTGGGAAACCAGAGCTGACACGGGTCCATTTGATATGCAAGTACCAAAGTACATCAAGCACATCGATCTCATTTTCATCTCCTCAAGTCTCCAAGAGACATGATATTCAGCGGCAAACTCGACAATAACAAACATCAGATGACACAAGATAAAAGCAAAGAAGATAATCTGCCTCATTGTCAAAGATGATAGTCATAACATCCACGAATCACACAGACACCATCCCGCAACCCCGCAGTCTCACAATGTACTCACTTCATGCAGATTAACCAGTCTCTCGATGATTGGTACGGGGAAGAGGTACACACATGAGCTGCAATAAGATATGATCCTATTGTTCGAGATATGCCTTTCCTTATTGGGTTACAGCATATTGGTGGCGTTTTGGCCCAATGGCCGTCAACCATCAGTCTGGCTAATGCATTCCTCGACAGAGTCAATTCATCAGTCTCATTGACGTGGTTATATAAAAAGCTCCAAGTTCTATCTACTGGTTTCTTCATTACAATCCTTCCACTCAATCAGCCGCCATCATGCCTTCGGCGAAACAGCCCCCTCCCAAAGTCCTCGTGCCGGAAAAACTGTCGCCAGATGGATTGGCTCTCCTGCGTGCGTCGCTCGAGGTAGACGAGCGAAGGGGTCTTGATGCAGATGAACTTCTCCAAATCATCCCCGAATATGAAGCTCTGGTCGTCCGCTCCGAAACCAAAGTCACGGGCAATCTCCTTCGAGCCGCCAAACAACTCAAGGTAGTTGCCAGAGCGGGAGTAGGAGTGGACAATGTGGGTGAGTTAGCCCTAGCCCCCAGGCTTGATTCATGGCACACTGACAAGTCATGGCACAGATGTCGAGGAAGCCACCAAGCTAGGCATCGTCGTCGTCAACTCGCCGTCGGGCAACATTGGGGCTGCCGCGGAGCATACCATTGCCCTGCTGATCGCCATGGCGCGCAACATCCCCGAGGCCTGCAGCAGTCTGAAGAGCGGCAAATGGGAACGGAGCAAGTTTGTCGGCGTCGAGGTGAAGGGCAAGACCTTGTCGATCATCGGGTTGGGAAAAGGTGAGTTTCTGCATTCTGGGAACGAGGCATTATTACACTACTATGGGGTCGAGTGTATGGCTGACGACAACAGTCGGCTTGACGGTTGCACGGCTGGCCAAAGGGCTAGGAATGAACGTCAATGCGCTCGATCCGTATGCGTCCCCTGCTGTCGCAGTGTCGGCGTCTGTCACGCTGGTCTCGTCGCTGTCGGAGCTGCTGCCCACGGCGGACTTTCTCACCATCCACACGCCGTTGATCGCGTCAACCAAGGGGATGATCTCGACGGCCGAGCTCGCGCAGATGAAGCCCGGCTCCCGTATCCTCAACGTCGCTCGCGGCGGCACCATCGATGAAGCCGCCCTGCTGCAGTCCCTGGAGTCGGGCCACCTGGCCGCAGCGGCCATCGACGTCTTCACTACCGAACCTCCCCAGCCCGAATCGACTGCCGCTCGACTGATCGCCCATCCCCGCGCGGTCGTCACTCCGCACCTCGGCGCCTCCACGGTCGAAGCCCAGGAAAACGTCTCCATCGACGTCTGCGAGCAGGTCCTCCAGATCCTAAACGGCTCCCTCCCACGCAGCGCCGTCAACGCGCCCCTCATCCTCCCCGACGAATACCGCAAGCTGCAGCCGTTTGTCCGGCTCGTCGAAAAGATGGGCAGCCTGTACACGCAGCACTACGCCTCGACCGTGGGCGGGTCCATGACGCGCAACACCTTTGATCTCATCTACCACGGCGAGGTGGCGGGCATCAGCAACACGCGGCCGCTGTTCGCCGCGCTGATCAAGGGCCTCCTGGCCCCGATCAGCAGCTCCGAGGGCATCAACATCAACATCGTCAACGCGGAGCTGGTCGCGCGCGAACGCGGCATCTTCGTCAACGAGCAGCACTCGCGCGATCCGGCGGATCATTCGTATTCGTCCCTTGTGACGCTGGTTGCGCGGCCACCTTCGCGCGCCTCCTCCCGTGCGCCTGCGCCGGACGCTACCTCGCAGGCTGGACCAAACCCGCAAGACCAACGCATCATCTCCGGGACGTGCAGCGGCGACCAGCCGTTGATTAATCGGCTGGGCCGGTTCGAGACCTCGTTCGTCCCGGAGGGAACGCTGCTCATCTGCGAGAACTACGATTCTCCGGGGAAGATTGGGGCGGTGGGGAGTCTCTTGGGGCAGGAGGGGGTCAATATCAACTTCATGACGGTGGCTCCTGTCTCGAGGAAGTTTGCATTTGCGTCTGGGGAGACGGACGATGGAGGTTCTAAGCACGAGGCGTTGATGATCCTGGGAATCGACAAGGTGGTGGACCAGCGAGTGGCCGATGGGCTGGTCAAGGGGGGAGGTGTCTTGAGTGCTAGTGTCATTTCTCTTTGACGGAGCATCTGAATGGCAAGATTGTCCTGTGATCAGTACAGTTAATCTATATTGTGGCAGATGACCTGTCAGTGTCGATCTGTCCCCGCATTATGCATAGCATTCACAGTCTAGTCCATACATACCAGTTAGCCAGAGGTAAATAGATAAACAATGCATTCCCTCAACCCATAATCATTAATCGCATCAAAATAATCACATCATCATAACTATAATAATCATATCATCACAATGAAAACACCACTCATCCTCACCCTGTTATCAACAACCCTCACCTCCGCAACAGCGTCAACCCTCCAATCCCCCCTCGATCCCCCCAACAACAATGCCATAAACATGAACCCAAAAACAGGAAACCCCATAATCCCAGGCTGGTACGCCGACCCGGAAGCCCGCGTCTTCGACACAACCTACTGGATCTACCCAACCTACTCCGCCGCCTACGAATCCCAAACCTTCTTCGACGCCTTTTCCTCCCGGGACCTCCTCACCTGGACCAAACACCCCCGCATCTTGGAGTTCGGGGGCATCCCCTGGTCCACGAATCGGGCTGCGTGGGCGCCGAGTGTGATTCGTCGGCCTGCTTCGCCTACAACCAACCACAGTGACGATGTCGCAGGGCATGGGTACGATTACTTTATGTACTTCTCCGCCGGGGACGGGGCAGGAATTGGAGTCGCGAAATCGACGACGGGACGGCCTGAGGGCCCGTATGCCGACGCCCTTGGAGAACCGCTTATCCCGACCACCGTGTTTGGGGCGGAGCCGATCGACGCGCAGGTGTTTATTGATGATGATGAACGCGTGTGGCTGTATTTCGGGGGGTGGAGCCATGCCGTCGTGGTGGAGTTGGGGAGTGACATGGTGAGTTTGAAGGGGGAGTATCTCGAGATAACACCCAAAGGGTATGTCGAGGGGCCGTGGATGATGAAGAGGAAGGGGGTGTATTATTTTATGTTTAGTGTGGGGGGGTGAGTTCTTCCATACCCTCCTTGGCCGAGACAAGTGCTAATGGTGGCAGATGGGGAGATGACTCCTACGGAGTGAGTTATGTTACTGGGGAGTCGCCTACGGGTCCGTTTACCACGGAGCCGGTCAAGATTCTCGCTGGGAATGCGACGGTTGGCACCGGGACGGGCCATAATAGTGTGATCACACCAGATGGAAAGGACTACTATATCGTCTATCATCGGCGGCCGGTGAATGACACCGAGCGCGATCACCGCGTGGTCTGCATCGATCGGATGGAGTTTGATGCAGAGGGGAATATCCTGCCGGTGGTGATTACGACCGAGGGCGTAGATGCAAAGGCATTGGATCAGCCGACCCTGTCTAGCGTAAATGCTTGAGCTTCATGAGTATCAATAGTGCTATCGTATGCCTAACGCCAAACTCCAGTAATGCATGGGTATCATATCAAAACATCGAGCTGCGCTTTTTATGTAACTTTGAATCGTCCGATGACCGTCGGAACCCAAAGAAACTACTCTTTTTCGGCTGCAGTTGCCCCTGTCCCTGGCCCTGGCCCTGGGGCCGCGGCGGCTGCAGGAAATGCGCCGTCGAGTGCGGTCGAGGCGGAGGCGCAGAGCCAGGCGCATGCGGCCGCGGAGTCGCAACTGGGCCCGGCGTCAGATTCAACATGGACGGTGCCTGCTGATGGTAGTAGTATCGCGGATCCGGCCGCGGAGGGGGGTGCGGTTGCTGCTGCCGAGGAGGTGGTGGAGGACGCGGCGACTGCGCAGGAGGACGCGCAAGGTTCACGCTGCTGGCGCGCACCTGCTGCTCCTCGCGCCCGTAGATCTTCTGCAGTCGGCGGGTCTCCTTATCAATCTCGGCCTGGCGCTTGCGGCGAGCCTTCTCCTCTTCTTCCAACCTTTTCTTGGTCCGTTTTTCCTCCTCCTTGCGCGACAGTTCTTGCTTCTTGTTCTGTTGCTGCGTTGGAGCTGGGGCTTGGGCTGGGGCTGGCGTTGGGCTTGGTCGCGTGACTTGAGCCTCTGCTGGACGCGAGGGCGCAGGCTGTTTGCCGTTGGCTTTTGTATTCGGGGCGACCGGCGCAGGCTTCTGATTCTGCAAGCCAGTACCATTCTGTACCGTTGGGCTGGCACTGACATTGACAGTACTGCCTGTCGGACCAGCCACAGGCTTCCTTCCCACCTCATCCCTTACAATTCGAAACGCGTCCTTCATCGGGGTAAAGTAGACATCACGAATGGCCACCGCTCCCAGCAAGAGCACAATCTCCAGCCCCTTGAAATCCTCCATCTCAACCCGGTACAGGTTCGGCTCATACAGCGTCAACTCCCGTAGAGCCTTGAAGATCGACACCGTGATATCCGGCTCCTTGCTCTTCGTCCTCCCCTCAGGCAGCGTCGCCGTCTTCCCAGAGAGCAGACACGTCAGGTCCTTGGACAACTTGCTATCCTTGCGCCAGCTGAACCGGAGTTTCGGGGTCGTGTCCGCCAGGGCCGGGTCAGTCTGCGTGCGGTCGAGCGTCGAGGCCGACGGCTGCCGGAAGGTGTGCTGCGGCATCTCAAATTCCCACGTTGCGGGCGTATTCCACGTCTTGTGCTTGTAGCGGATCGTCACCTGCTGGTCCGGGTTGTACAGCTGGACAATGAACTGCGAGGGGAGAATGGGTTCTGGGGGAGGTGTGACCCCGCCGTTCAGGCGGATCGCCTCGGCGGATAGACTGGGTTGTGTCCATTCCGGGATGATCAAGATCTCACCGTAGACGACATCGGGCACGAAAGGATCACAGAGCGCGACGGCATAGCGGTTCTTGGAGGAGGGAGAGGCGGGATCAGGGTAGCGCAGGGTGTAGGCGGGCTCGGGGTCGTCGCCGTACTGGCAGATATAAATAGTCCACAGGTGTTTTTGTTGGTTATTTGGCCTGAGATAGAAGGCTGTCGTTGTCGTCAGCAGTCAGCCAGCAGTCAGTCTTCAAGCTATCTTGGTGAATGAGTCAATGACGTACTTGGGAGGTTCTCGTCAAGCATTGTGCATGGATATCGCTACGGCGTGAACATTCAATAGAACCGCCGGTCTGCAGTGGTTGAGACAATTCGGCCATTGATTAATGGCCACGCGTAGAAATATACCACTGATGGAAAGAGGAAGGGGAAGTCGTTTCAGAGGTGCCTGGTGATAAGCCTGAGGCTTGCTTCTCTGGGGTATTGCCCGCTATTGCGCCACTGGATCCGCACCTAAAAATAGCGCATGTCCTTGTTTCCTTGTCGTCGTAGAGCTTCTACATAGTTAGTCAGTACCTCTTACTGAACGTTTCAAGTTGTCAAATAGGCAACTATATATTTACAACTCTAAATCTTGTCTGTACCTCTCTGAGAGGTAGATCTGCTACTATTGAGAAGCATTGACTGAACGATGATAGGCTGGCTGTCTGTACTGCCGTCTCACCATCGTCCACTCATATATCATCTGTCAGTGAAATAGGCAGAACTCAACTCAATTCAATGGATGACGATTCAGCTATTTGCACAAATTAACTGGCTATATACTGATCTGACAGGTCTCTGACCATGAAGATGAACACGGACCTAGGACTATTCAACTCTAGCCGTCAGAAGCATTCTGACCATTCAACAAGACAGCACCAACAAAATGAATCAAAATGCCTGCTCGCAAACATGATTGTGACAAGATGGATCTACATACAAGAACAAGGTCAATCTCGTTGCCTTGTGCACTGCCTCGAAGGATGGGTGAAGTCTGCCTCGGATCAGTCCACCGCTACAGAACAGGATCATTCAATTGGGCTATCCTGTCCTGCTCTGTCTTTTAGCTCAGATTGGGGAATCTGGTGAAGGCTGGTGCACCTACCCTTGTTTATGGTTTACTGGAGTTCCAGTGAGCCTGGCCGGGTTCTGAAGGACAGATATGAACGTGAATGTATTGACCGAGGATCTCGCTATCGAGTGAATGGCTCAGGATGAAGTACATGACGTTCACACGCTGGTTCTCAACTAAATTCCTGTCTTCCTGGCCGGGTGGATCTCGAATCACCCCCTCAGAGTAATGAATTTCATCATCGGGTTGTGAAACAGCGAGATCGTTGAACGCTTGGCCTGGGATGAATTAGTGCCTGTTCAGTCTTCGGTCTCGGTCTTTGAAGGACGTACCGTTTGCAAACAAGGTCAATCCGTGAGAACGGTGGCCAGCTTGGTTATGACAGGTATCTAGAAACTGGTCAGGTCTCGTCCACCCTGGGGAGTGAAATCCTAACCTTTGCGGTAGAAGAATAGGCTCTCTGCTCTCCTGTTCCAGCTCCACATCGCGCTTCCCAATATTCGGCGTCTTTCGAACGCAGCCTCCCGCGCCGCTATCATGGCGTTTGCCTGTATCCAATATCCCTAGCGTACATCAGTAACATCTCGCTCATATACATGGGTAGGGATGAACTTATTCTGCGAGCGTCTGCATCTTGCGTCTGTTGAACAGGCTCAATGGCCCTCATGAAACAAGCAAACCCTATACTCCGTAAGCCATACACCAGCGGATCCGGACGTACCTGACGTTGAATCTCGCGTCGAGTCGATAGGCTTCAATGATTGTCAAACCGCCAGTTGCCATGCCTGATTGAGGTTAGCTGTCGTTTTTTCAAGAGGGAGGGTTCGAGACTTAGAAGATCATGTATCTCGGCGTTGTTATCTCGCCGATTGAACTTATACATCTCATCTTCGAAAGCTGATAGCGATCTGTTTCCGTCAGCTATTGAGGGTTGGGGCCACTTACTAGACTTAGGCTGGTATCCAGGAGATTAATCACAGATATGAGGATCCTGAGAACCAGACATTAGTATTTGCTTGCCTTTCCGGGCGGACTCACCTATTCGATACTGCTCTGGTAGAGTAAAGCTGACCGAGTCCGTCTCTGAGATGATCCGAGAAGGCCACTGTCATTTGCAATCAATACTCTTATAGACGACGGCGCACAATGAAGTACTTGACTTAACGCAGCCTTTGTCACTGTCTTATTGTTGGGTCTCGTTTGTTCTATTCTGGTCGACTCGGCGAGCTTTGTACTTTTGTCTCTGAGCACATAATGGGTATTGTTCGAGTGTTGCAAGTATGTCTCCAATCCACGGAAATCTTCCTTGAAGAAGCGCATCGAGTCCAATCATCGATGCGATCTCGAACCTTGTTCCCTGTCGGGGGATTGGACGTGAAACTTGCCTTTGTTGCGTTCGTTATTGAGATCCCTGGCTTTGTTCGATCAACCGCAACCCTTGAGATCGACTCTTTATTTCCCTCGTCTACAATCAAATGAAACACCTGAACCAATGGATTGCTTTCTATCTTGCATCTATTTTCGTCTAGATCTATCTTCAGTCCAACCATGCAGCAGCCAACTCTGCCAAGTACAAGTCCAACGTCTCAGACTCTGACACCCTCGACCTCCTTACCCTCCGGAACCGTGGCTTGCTCTCGCTCGGCTGTGCTCAGTTGCAAGCCCTGGTCATCCCATCCTTGTGTGCCAAGCTTGTACAATGTCTTTTGTCTCTCACGGTCGAGCATCGGGCCGTCCTTACCACGGCGATGGCGCGATTCCACTGTCTCAACCATTGTCGCATTGTCGCCGTCTAAAGGATAGCCTTCCAGGTCATCTTTGTGTGTCTCGTCGGAGAAGACGAAGCTGCGGTATTCGGTGTTGTTCCAGCCGGTTCCTTACAAGTGTTAGTCACATCAATTGTAAAAATGAGAAAAACGAGACATACCCTGGTAATGACTGCTATCCTCCCAGTCCTCCGTGAAATAATGCAGGAAACCACCGTGCGTGACGACAACGATCTCCTTCTCCGGCCTCTCCTTCAGCCAGCGCCGGGCCGCACGCGCCCGGTTCTTGATCGCCTCGTTGGTCGGCGCATAGCGACCCGTCTGAATGCTGTCAGCCTCCCTTCTCCCTCCCGAAACGAAGGAAACAAACCTTGCTGTTCCATCCCTCCTGCACTAAACTCATATCCACGGGAATTCCCTGCTCCTCCATCTCCTTCCGCAGGATCTCCGGGTCACTCCCCGTGTCGCAGGGAACGTCGCTGGTCTCTTGCACATCCGGCAGCAGCACGATCTTCATATCCTTGTGCTTCTCGAACACGGGCTGGAAGCTCTGGTATGCAGTGTAGATGGTCCGTCGGAGAGGCGACGCGGTGATCAGCTCGATCCGATCATGGAAGGGGAAGTTGTCGCGAAGGATGCGACATTGTTCGTTTCCGAGATCGGTCAGGGAGGGATCGTGGATGACGTGGTTCGCTGTGCTTAGGTTGTGGACGCCCTGATGGTGTGGTTAGTTTGGAGTACGTAGGAAGATGTCTGCAAGGAGGGCCATACCTGAGCAT